TGTGGGTTGTAGTGTGATCGTACTTAGTGGGTAGCAGCTGGCTGACCCTTTGGGTTATACGCTATATATTCCTCTCTATTTGGTGCCAAGGTGTTTGTTTCTGGGTGTGCATGTGTGTCACCAAGTAAACTGGACACCAAGTGCCATTCTCCAGATGTGGCTTTCATTCCGCCCACTATCCGGGATTCCTCCTGTGAGTTGTTCCCACTTGCAGCCAACTTGAGTCTGACAGACACCTTCCAGTTGCCTCCCGTTACCCGGGAGACGCCCGTGGGCATGGGCAAAGCTGCTGTTGCACGCAAATAGAGGTGTTTTCTCGAAACCAGTGGTTTGTCTGCATCGGCATCCCCGTGTTCACAACAGGCACGTCTGTCTACTGACCCGAAACACAATGTCAAACACGATGGATCAGATGCTGGGCAGCAGTAAACCTGCCTGCACGTCCCCCAGAGCGAACAGCAGCTCTCAAACATGCTGGATCGGAGGTAAATCATGCAACACTTCACTCCCTGCTTTTCAGCGAGAGCTTCAACGTCCACATACAGGTCGTCCCGTTCTGCCGCAGCCAGTCAGGGTGAAAAGCCATCTTCCGGCTCTCATTCATACATTCAGAAAAGGTGTCAAAAAAGCCACAATCTGTCCTGAGAAAAGATGCGGCTGACAGTGAGATCACATTATCCTGCGCTGACTGGGAGGAGGGCAGCCGTGAAGGTGAACGTGCACTGAGAGCACCGGGGGGCATAATCAGTGCGACGGCAAAATGAGCTGACTGTGGGAAAGCCAAGAGAGGTGAAGACGGTACGGCTGGAGGGAGAGTAATCTGGGGGGGGCTGCCTTCTCTGCGGAGCAGGCCCCCGTTTAAATATTCCCAGTGCGCACAAGCTGCATACCCTGATTGTATTATAAGATGCTTACTTCACCATACTGATGCAGGGATGCCTCATTAATGTGAATAGTTTCTTCTGTGATCAGATAAATACATCTTGAAGCATAATCTAAATATATCTGTGTAAGAGGAACCAGGCTCAACTCTCAGAAGCAATGTAATAGAGAAAGTGCTCCCAGTCGAGTACTGTACCCCTAATCTGTGCTGCAGCTCTCTTGTACAGCTGGTGTACAAGAAAGTTTCTCCATCATAAGGGTTGGGTACTGGAGTCTTGCCCTTTTCCCTCACCTTATACAAGCCAAGGACAGCCCTCACCAAGCAGGTGAGAGAGAGAGAGAGAGAGAGAGAGAGAGAGAGAGAGAGAGAGAGAACTCAGAGAGAAACCCGGGAACACCCAGGGCAGTACGGCACGAGCATGCGAAAAAATAACAGCGCGTGACGTTTGCGATATACAGTTAGGAGAGCCGCGCTCTCTCCCTCCAGACGTGTCATCCTTGCGGGAGCAGAAAGCTGCCACTGGCTCCCACCGTTCGTGCGCCCGAGCATTAATGACGAGGAGGATTTTACTAAAGGGCATCTGAGGCTGGAGGAAATCTCAGTGACTGGGTCCCAAAAGCACCGTTTCCAGGTCTTTTCCAGTCACAAGACAGGGCAGTTCAGGCATACGGTCTCCTACATTAAATAAATGTCATGAAGAATCCTGAAACATAAAAGAAACCTCATTTTTTAACAACAGAAAAGTAGGTTTGTTGAAACTAACCCCCCCCCACCCCCCACTAGCACTCAAACTGAGAAATCAGGCACTTCAGCAGACAGGGAGTGGGTGTCCTTCCCTGTTAGTACAGACAGCTAAGAGTGGGAATGAGGAAGCCAGTCAGGAGCTGGTAGTAAAATAACGACACACAATGGGCCAGAATTTCAGGCATTGCTATGGAGGGTCTGCAGGAAGTGTGACTGACACAGGGTGGCCATCACCAGTAGCCACCAGCCCCCATCTGATCATTGAGCAAACGCCTTTACTGCACAGACCACAACACACAGAATGGACCAATCAGCATCTTACATACAATTTCTCAATATAATCATGACAACAGCTGTGGCGTGAATGTGAATGGAAAATAGGACACTGCAGCTGAACCACAGCAGATCCAGTGATATCTGCAAGACCGTCAGCAGATCAGTGAGGCTCCTCCTCCTGTCCCTGCCATTGGGCATCTTTCTCACGCACCGCACACCTCACGCGCATGGCCTTGGGCTGCAGGGCTGGGAGAGCTACAAACCAACATGTGTGTTAATTAAACATTCATACAGGGGGCTGGCAGAGACGCCTCGCGCCCTCAGGGCTCCTATCCTCTGCTAAGTACTGGCACTGCTGGCCTCGGGGACGCCCAGGGGACGCCGCCAGAAGGCTCCGCTCGCTCCAAGGCGGTCAGTCGATCTAATCACGGGATGAAGAGCAGAGAACAGCATCTCCAGCAAAGGAACCTGAGGGCGAGGAAACCCCATCTGGGTGGCGGGGGCCCTAACCAGGCTAAATCTATATACTGCAGCATCAGACTGGAGTCAGCCAGTATTATAGAATAAAGACCGGCAGGCATTTTACAGCCGCTGCATGCAACACCAACACAACCTCTGCGACCATTTGGAAAGGTTCACCTCACAAGCCACCGTCTAACCGGCATCGCTTCCTGGCGAAGCTACAGAGCTGCAGCCGTTGTGGAGGGAAGTGGCACGAGTTCCCTGCGCCGCAGATTCCTTTGTAAAAGGGCATGGAGGCAGGGACCTTAAGAAGGGTTTAGGCAGCATGCCTGGAGTTATGTACACAGTTATGCAGAAGAGCCACTCCACTGTTTTCCATTATGGACGTGATGAGACACACGAATTGTCATCGTGTCAGTGGTTCAATCGGTCTAGAGAGGAGCGTGTGTGTCACTCTCCCAGCACAGAAAATTGTTTTTCTTAAATGTGTTACTGTCTTCCTTTATATATCAAGTCTTGCAAAGCACTCCTATAATGTTACTCCTATATAACACCAAAACAACACTAAAGATAAAGCATTTGTATTTGGACATATTGCTTGATAATGACCACTCTGATGGGAAAAGATCATATGTATCACGTTTCATCGTTTGATGATATAAGCTCGTGGGAGTTATTCTTGCACAAATGTACGGATTCATGAAATTAGAGGAGGCGGGACCATGAGATCTGATTGGTTGGTTCCGCCTCCTCTAGTTGCTTAGACCCGCCTCCACTACAATTTGATTGATTATCCAATTTTCGTTCAAAATTTTTGTGTAAGTGAAACTCCCATGAACACGATATAACTAACACTGTGAAGAGCTGTACCTAAGTAATCAAACAAAAGTAGTATAATCACATATCACGCTGAATAATTGAGGAGATGACAACTACCGCCATCTATCATGACCATTTGTTACCGTCCTATTAATTACTTTAATCGGCAAAACGATGATGCATCTAATTAGCTGGGAAAACATGTATGGCTACTATGATTCATGACAGTTAGTAGGGGCTGCTGCCCAGTAATTTAAGTGAACAGATGACATCCATCCATCCATTCGAGACTGGCTGTCCGCTCTGAATATGTCCCACCCCTGACTCATCTTCTTCCCTTCCCCCATCTTTCCCCCCTCCTCTCGGCCCACCCTGTTGCCGGGAGCCTCGCTCGACCTCACTGTAAACGTGCCTCAGAGTCCCTCTCAGACCCGTCTGCCAGCCGCGGCTCCGGCCGATCGATGGCCCAGGCCACGGTAACTGCGGGCCGTCATGGATACCAGTCAGAACAATGCAACAGCGGCGCAGCAGAGGGATAAAGGGAGGTAGGGAGAGAGGGAGCGAGGCGCAAAGGAAAGACACAAAACGCTAAATCTAAACACACAGTTTCTGTGATGCTGGTAAATTCAGCTTGAGCTCATTACAGAGAGAAAATGACAAAAAGAAAGAAAGATAGAAAGAAAGATGCAGCCCTACAGCAATTCAGGAGCCTAGCAGTGATGGCAGACTCCAGGAATGCTGGAGAGCTGGATCCGGGATCACCAGCACCTTGTGCCTTTCAAAACAGAGTTTTTCACGCCTCCAGCAGGGATTTAGAATGAAGTGGTTTTACGCACACTGGGGCTCTTGCAAACTGGTCCGTCTTTCTTCCAGCCCCGCCCTTCCCCTCAAACAAAAACGTGACCCACGTTTTCATTTGCTCCTCGGGTCATTCCACGTCCCCCGCCCGCAGGGCACGTCACGCGTCACCGAGACACACACCCAGAGTTGTGCCTGTTTGTTCCTGCAAACGGCCCTTCCTTCCTGTGCGCGTGTATGTGTGGGCACGCCCAGAGGTGTGGGTGTCTGTGTGCGTAACTGAGAAGGGGAGAGAAGGCACTTCAGAAGACTCCTCTCCAACTGAACGCAAACAGTCGTATGTCAGTAATGCGAATATTCAAACCGCACACCATTTCACATTAGACTGCTACACCCAAAGGCACACAAACATCTCCTTGAATACTGTTCATACAACCTGTTCTACCGATTAAAAGTTTCAGGGCAACCTCCCTAGCACATGTTCCCCTTGATCCTCTGATGTTCAGACAAAATGTCAGTACATGCAGAGTGGAGAGGGACAGAAAGCTGCCATATGAAAGCAAAGGGCCAATAGGAAATGAGTGGCAACTATTTATAGGCAAGTAAAAGTGGCTCAGAAACTTCGTAACAAATCGGCAGGAATTGTAGACGGGCGGAGGACACGGACAGCTCAAAGATTTAACCGAGCCCAATCGATACCGTTAACAGGCGCTGTAGACATGGGGAGGGCAGGGAGGCGGGCAAAGGACAAGCACCCAGACGGGCACACCCGACGCCAGGCAGGAACCTCGGGAAGGGCGAGGCCGCCGCCATCGAGTGAGAAGGTCAGGGCCGTTATCGATATTCTGTGGGGGAAAATGTCTCCATGACATGGCATGGAGTCTAAGGGCTCCTGTCAGGGCTGAGAGTACAGACCACAGATCAGCGGCTCCTCTCACATGCACGAGAAAACGACAACACACACACACACACACACACACACACACACACACACACACAGTGTTGGCCATGTGCTCACCTGGGCTGACATGGGGCTGGGGGAAGCGGGAAAAAGGGAAGCTCTGGGTCGCAGGCCATGCGTTCTCCTTGGAGACTGATGGGCGAGAGGGAGAGACAGCGCCTCCTGCAGGAAGAGAGGCAGTTAGACAGGACTCTGGTATATAATGTTAAAAGCTCTACGCAATTTTAGTTAACTCTGGGGTTTCTCCCCTTACTCTTGGGGGGGGTCATATGAATGCATAATTACAGAGATCCTACCCTATCTGGTGTATGAGCCTGGATTAAAGAAGAGCAGAGGAAAAAAAAAAAAGAAAAAAAAAAAAGTCAATGAGTCGAACTCAGAGTTTAAAGAGAATTCCTGACACCAGAAATATAAGGAAACTTAAAACCAAAACAAATTTTTTGCACGTCTGTCGAAAATCAGCCGGAAAAACGTTTCAAGTGTGAGCGAGCCTGTTAAATGCTTCAGCTGTTTACTCCACACAAAGATGTTCCTAGACTGCTGCATGTTTGAAGCTCACAACATGCGAGGAACAGGAAATGCTGGCCATCTGAAACGGCACGACGAAACATGTCACCACTCCGGCGTAATGCTGTTTGCCTTTTCTTTTTGGCCTTTCCCACAATGCACCGCATCACTGCTAGGTTTCATTAAAAAAGGGACCAAACATCAATGTAAATTGGACCCATACTAAACAGGAAAAAGACAAGATTTGCATGTCGTTAGGTGGCGGTGTCTTCTGTCAGTGCTGCTGTCCCAGAAAGCACATGTGGTACTGCTAGGTCATTGGGTCTGACATGTACTGGAAACACTGTTTGTATGAGGGAAACTCTAGCCCCACGCGTCATTTGATCCTTGCCCACTTCGTACTCGTTAACGATTCATTACCTGCTAACCTGCTGCTAACGACCCTGTAACTTTAACAATGAGGTGGTAGAACAATATCAGGCTGCTTGACAGTTTCTTCGTGTGACATCAGCGCTTAATCTTTGTATGCCTGGAGACCAAGTTACACCAGGAAAAAAAAAAGCTCATTACGCATCAACACATTTAATCACAGAGACATTAGTTATGAATTGGCCAACAGAAACAAGAAAAAGAGGGAGACTGGTGGTGATACTGGTTTTCAAGGAGCCGGCAACAGGCCACAGCAGATGCTGATGTCGAAAGGGGAGGAGACTGGAGATCAGATAAGAGGTCTGGCTATTCAACGGAGGAGCATAGGAGAAATTCCACCAAAGACCATCAAAGTGGCTGAGAAGCCCAAACTGAAAGGCCATGTCCAGGCCCTGGGGTGACGGGCATGCTGTGCTTGAAAGGCAATTAAGGGCCAATTCATTTTAAGGGCCGGAACACTGCAGAGTCCCCCCCATCCCGACCACCCAAAGAAACACTGGCACCCAGGTCTCCCTCAAGGTCACCTGTTCGTGCAAAGTTATCAGAGGAACCTGCAAGGGTAGAGCTGCACGATATATTGTTTCAGCATCAGCATCGCGGTGTGAGAATGTAATAATCAAATGGCAGGATGTGCAATGTCAAGTAAGGCAAATTAAATCAGACATGTCGTGCAACATTTTTGTGGCTTTACTACAAAAGAAAAACTTGCATGGTTCTCATTTTTCATGACAAATCTACAAGGTCTTTTTGATATATATTTACTCCAATTTAAGGGTTTGTAACTTAACTAGTGAGTGAGGCAGTGAACCATCAATCAAAATCTTTTATAGACATGCACAATGTGCAATATTAATATATTTAATATACACTTGCAATTTTCACATTGAAGGACTGCGATAGCTGGATTAAGACAGTTAGTTACACCAAAACAATTTTACTGGCTCATAGGGAACAAAATTTAGCCAGCATTTTAAGGATCATTTCAAGATAAGGCTACATGTTAAAAAAATCTGATTAGACTTTACTGCCCACTGTTTCGATGAACTCGACTAGAAGATAAGTTAATGCTATTGCAGAGTGTGTCAAATAAGTTGTATTTGGCTATAGTTTATTCCGGATTAAATTTCCTTTTTTTTGTTTTAGAAATATTGCAAAAATAATTGCAAAATATCGCGATATGATTTTTTTCCAGTAACATTCAGCACTATGCAAGGGTCACATTCATTCAATGTCACACTTGTGTTCCAGAAGTATCTCCAGTAAAATTGACCCTAATCGCAAACCCCAACCTGCTAGGCTCATAACAGTGAGGAAAAAAAACAAATATAATCCATTACTGCTGCCGTTTCCTGGAGCCACGATTTTACGTGACAAAGGTACTAATCATATGTCACAGTGCCAAGACAGCAGCATCTGACATGAGCCACCTCTGATGTAATAGATAGCAGGGCTGCATGATTAATCGTTTTAAATTGTGATCTTGATTCATACCTCTATGAGATCTCATTCTACGGCAGTACAATTATTCGTTTTAAATTGCGATATTGATCCATACCCCCCATGAGACCTCATTCTTACATGACACTGGTTATGCTGTGTTTGCATTAGCAGGAAGATCCACTGCATCAAATCAAGCGCTCCCTTTCCCCCCCTAAGCTGTATCCATAAATGACAGGACTGCGTTACACCATGAGGCAGGAAGAGGGGGCAGAAAAACAGGTGTTATAATAAACTTAAATCTCAACCGCACTTTATGTTTAGCATTTGCCGCTGAATGACGGCACATCGCGAGGCGGGTTTTGGTACTGGTACCCATCTAGAAGTCAATGGAAAAGTACAGAAATTACTGTACCAAAAATAAGGTATGTGGTGTAGTAGAAAAGTGCCATTCGTGGTTTATTCAAACCCAGGAATATGCCCATTCTGTTCTACAAAGCTGACGTGGTGCACTGATGTGGAAATTATGACCGAAACCGATAACCGATATATTTTTGCCTAATGTTGATGATAGAGATAACCAGCTAAGCGAAGCCACCTGCCAGGCGGGGAAATTGGTGGCACAGATTAGCAGAATGACATCACATGGTTTTCTGTGGAAAACGAAAGATCGATCTAGGGTCCAATGCAATTATCTCTATTACTTCAGCAGTTGTGTCATTAGCGGTGATGCTGCTAACTTTGATTATTGATAAAGGTCGGTATGTTAACCTTGGGCAAGACTCGGAAACCCGAGGCTGCTTGGTTGTCTACAGGCGGCTCCAAAGTGGACTACCATGCATATGTACGATATGTACTACACTGTAATGTCAAGGAAATTCAGCAAGTATGGTATAGTATGTGGTTCCGAAAATACCTATAAGAACATTGCAGAGCCTATACCTCAAAAAATCTGAAGAAGCTTTTGTGAACATCACGTATTGATTATTGGTGGCTTGTGATGTTCATCTTGGTAGATTAACTTGATTGAATAATATTGATCCAGTCTGGATCACTTTAATTTTTAAACCAGCAAATATGTTTTTAATAGTAGCCTAAAACAGAAAAAGTATTGAAACAAAGCTAAATTGTGTCACGAGGCAGCTAAAAACAGTTCTCAAAATGAAAGAAAAAAAAAGAATAAAAGATGAAAATTCTGAATTTAGACATGAATGGACAGAGGCATATTCTAGGAGTAAAAAAAAAAAATAATTATAATGCTAATATGGTGATATATTTTATGCTGAAAAATTTGCCTGCCCGATCACAGGTACAAACATAAAACCTGTAAATGACCAGGTCACGGGGATTTTTCCGTGTGTATCTTAAGATAACTTTCCGATGTTTGGACTATACAAAGACAATCTGATTTTACATTTCATTGTTCAGGTGACTTCAGAGTTGAGGACAGTTGCTGCCAGTTTTGTGACATCTTGGGAAATTATACAAGATGGAAAGCCCGTTTCCAACCATTAAAGAGTGTTTTATCAAAGTCGAGGTCCACCTGTTTACAGATTTAAAAAATTAAGACGATATAGTTAAGAAAAGAATGAATATGGCATGTCCCTACTTAAGTCCATGAAGCGCTGAAAACAATTCAGTTGTTTGTTTACGCTTTGTTTGTTTACGCTTTGTTTGTTTACGCTTTGTTGTTGGTGTCATATTAAAAATGTTGCTGAACTGTTTCGTAACAAATTTCTGTTTTCACTAAAAAGCTGCGGCTCAAATGGGTTTCAGTTATTTAAAAAAAAAAATCATCTTCTCAACTGATTTGCCAACCCCCGACCTAGAGTTTCCCAACCCCTGCTCTGCAGAATGTTCGGGGTTTTGCAATGGGGTTTGTTAATTACTTAAATTAAACAATGTATTTTCTCTTTTCATCCCGTCACTTTTGCACGTTCACATCTGAAAAAAAGTCTGTGACGCAAATGCAATACAGACTGGCTGGCTAATATCACATGGCTATGGCTGGGAAACCCCCATGTTAACTGACATATTGTGCATCTCTACATATAAGAACATAAGAACATAAGAACTATACAAACGAGAGGAGGCCATTCGGCCCATCGAGCTCGCTTGGGGAGAACTTAACTATTAGCTCAGAGTTGTTAAAATCTTATCTAGCTCTGATTTAAAGGAACCCAAGGATTCAGCTTGCACTATGTTATCAGGAAGACTAAACCCCTAATCACATTGATTAGGGTTGTGATTGCTTGTTCCATCTTCATAAAAACACATAATGTTTTACCCAGAATCATGCAGCCCTAATACATACCGACCTGATGGCCCAACAGGGCAATGCAGCTCGGAAAGACTGTAAGGAGACCCCAAATATCCGCAGCTGCTTATCAACACATTTACAAAGGAAGCCAAGCAGAGAGAATCAGCATAGGGAGATGGTCCATTCGCAATGAGTTGGTAAACCATGTTTTCATTTAGGTTCTCTCTTAAAACTGTACCCCACAATGACTAATGGCCAATTACATTCAAGAAGAAATGGAACTCACTGGGAATGGAACAATAAAGTTAATAATCATTTAATACTACATATTACACTGAAAGATCTTCAGCTCTGCCCCTCCTCTCCCCAGCCCCTCCCCTCTGGAAATCACACAACCGAAAGGCTTCCCCGCCACCCATCAATCAACGGGAGTTCATGGGATCTCCTTGCTGGCCAATTAAAACATGCCATACAACAAGCCCTGCATAGAAGAATCCGGAAAGACCTGAGTTTACAGCGGCACTGGGCC